ATTTTGAAATTGAATTGTATTTGTTTATGATTTTATACTATATATGATCCTTGTTATACACAGGTTTCAAAAGAGATCATGTTTTCAATTAATCTAAATGTTTAAATAAAGGATTGTAACACAATCAGGGGCGGATCTAGAGAAATATTCATGTGGTGGCCAGAATATATTCTGATTTCATCAATAACATATATCAATATTTGCTTGGAAAAGCTCCTAAATGAAGATATTTGAACTCAGAAACATCATTGTGGCACATTACTAAAGCATTGAATAGATATATCTATAAATATGGCATTAGAAATCATCCATCATCAATCAATTCTTCATTGAACTTAAGTGAATCAGTCTGATATGTGGCCAAGAAGCACTCGGTAGCTCAACTGGTAGAACAAGAGACTCATGTAGAGTTCTTACTGCAGCGGTCCGGGTTCGATTCCAACCTGAAGCCCTTTGCTGTCAATCTTCACCGGTCCTATTGAATAAAGGCATAAAAAGCCTTTAATAAATAAGTAGTCAAATAAAAAAATCAATAAAATGTGGCCATAAAAGATCATTACATTAAATGTTAATTTTGCCAGGCTTTTATTTGCTTCAATCACTGAACTCAACCTGCCTTAGTTTGGGACAGAGCTTTAATTCCTTTTGCACAAAACGTTCTTACCCAAAAAAGATGAGAAATACTATTAAATTGTTTATTCAAACCAGTATGAATATTAAAAATTAGGCTATCAAATTCACATATTAAATATAAATCATTAATTTGATCTATTGATACATTGTGATGTCGCCACACCAGGCTAGTAAAGGAGATCTGCCTCTAATTGGGACCCTTCTTTTAACTGTGAACCTATCGTGACGTCATCCATTGGTTTGTGGAGTGACGTTTTGAAGCCTCGAGTCCAGCGTTTTGGCCGCCACCATGACAGAAAAACTGAGCCATCCCGAGCCAGCAGACGTACAACGAGTTGATCTACGTTCATTGGCTGCACAGTTTTGACCCGTCCGTAGCAGGAAACAATGGCGGCTCGCCTGGTCACACATGATTATAGCTAAACATAAAATAAAATATGTTTCTGAAACGATTTTAAACGAGAAATAGGCAACGCAGTAACAGAATCTAGCTTCGTATTTGATCAGCACTGCCTAGTCTGACAGTTTGATCTGAGTTTCGAGAGTGACCTGTCAATCAAAAGTTAGCCCCGCCCAAAAGCGTACGTGGCTTTATCGTCTATTTTAAATTAAATTAGACCATAATTTACTAAATGAACATCATAATGTATTGAAGAAGATGTGAAACTAGCGA